CATTAATAGTATGATTATGCGTCAGCATAGTCTGCGTTAATGCTCGGCAACGACGCCTCAGTTTTAATCCCTAACACATGACTTACACAACACACGCCAGTCATAATCCCCCTGCCCATGACATCAACATGTGCCCCTATTCATAGGCACGCGACCTTCCATCTCGTGCACGCCTCGCCCATGCTATTTCCATTCACACGCATATTGTAAGCTCATACTCTCGTGACGGTCATTTGCCTAATTCTACTTGCCATGCAATCGTCAAGCTTTCCTGTATCCCGCTTCGCCTTAGCATAGTCATTCTACGTTCAGCAAGCGACCTGAACCCGTCTCCATTCAAGAGTATTGATCTTTATGGTGACTAGCGTGAATGGGTTAGCTTCATTTCGACAAAAAACAAATTATGTCGCTTTCCCATCAAAATCCAAGACAAAAGATCGTACAACAACATTGGCAAATCTCTTCCGCGCTGCATTCAATAACATTAACATATTTAAATGTGCTATTGTAATATGAACATGTTGGCATTATCCATCGTTTTCATTGGTTAATTATCGATTTGACCTGTTAGGTCAAAGAACACCATCTCAGGTCAAACATGGCGGATATTCATTTCTACAGCATCGAGCGTTGAAAATGCGATCGGGATCATTCGCTTACAATGAAATAAGTTGAAATTTATTTGCATTTTATAACACGTTATTATATTCATTACTAGGTAATAAACGCAGTATGACCGGATTGCGCTATCACGATCATTTGCTAGTAAGCAATGCAGTTGTGTTCATTGTTATTTGAAACTTTTTTTATTTAGAATATACTTTCGTTACTACCGGTAATAAAATGAAACAAATTTGGCACACGAGGTTCGTTAATGGGATTTTTTTGGAGAAAGATGCACGGTCTACTTTTAATCCAGCTAGAAAACAATGTACACAATTTTAGATTAGCTTTTGCAATAGTTTCTTTCATTTTGGGTGGTCCAACTGCCGGTGTTAAAAATCGGCGTAGATGGATTTTCCAATGAAAACATAGCCCCCTAAAAATGTTTGATAACAATTTTTTGAAAATTTGAACCCCAAATAAGGGCCCACCAATCATGAAACCACCCAGATCGATTTTTCGGATAGGCAGAATCCGGTATATGTAATATCAAAGCAATTGAACTTGTGGTTTTTACCAAGTATCGAAAATATCACTTTTTACCAAAAATTACAAAAATATTCACCAAAATTAGAGAATTGAAGATATCATCATGAAATGAACAAATCTGGGAGAGGTTAACATGTAGTACCTATATATGTAATATCAAAGCAATCAAACTTGGGTTTTTAACAAGAAGTCGAAAATATCACTTTTTACCAAAAATTACAAAAATATTCATTGATTTTCCCACAATCCAATGCACTATTTTATTGGAAGTCAAAACATTATTCGCTATGAAAAAAGTTTTTATTTTTCACAGCATGATAACTCTTAAGTTATGGAGACAGCCAACCAGTGACACAAAATTCTGTGTCGACTACATATTTACATAGCGATTCACCAGACCATGGATAATTTTGCAACTTTTAAATAATAGGTTTCCCTTACATGACATGGTTTTACAGTCTGTACGGATCTGACTGTTGTAAGAATTGTACACAATTGAAACTTGGTACACTTTTTCACAAATAAATGTCCTACAGATTGCCTGCGGTTGCACATTTCTACTGCATTCGTGAGAAAAGTTGTGTTCTCAAAAAGTTCAAAAAGTTTTTTTTTTTTATAGCATATTATCTCTGCCAAGCATTATTATAATACTGTCAAAATGGCCACTATCCACTAAAATACAACAATAAAATTGAGCTGGTGACCCCCAAATTTGTTTAATGTGGTCGCACATTTTTACTGCATTTGTGAGGAAAGTTGTGTTCTGACAAAGTTCAATTTTTTTTTTTTTTTTAAATAACTTTTTTTTTCAGGTGATTTCATTTATGAATTCTTGTTTTTAGTTTGCAGGAATGAGTTAGTGAGGTTTTAGGAATGTAAATAAAAATCTGCCTTTCGATTTATTTACTAGCATTGTTTACATTTCGATAGATTCCAAAGATGTTCGACAATGGAGCCCGGCATGGGAGTGGAGTTTCAACAATTGAAACCAGGGGGTGGGCTGCAGCATTTTGTAGAAGAAAAAAAAATGTGTTGAATGCGTAGAACACAAACATAAACTTTTGGATTTGGATAAAATGTCAATACCAATTTTTTGTCAAACAAATGTGAATAATATTAGCAAAAATACAACCCCCCTCGATTTAAAGTGGGTATCCCTAACAGTATGAAAAGCAACACTAAACCTACCTATAACGGCTTCCGTTAACAATGGCCTGATAAAGCTTAGAGCAACCAGTCGGTTTGTATCACTTCTGTGAGGCCCTTCTTCATCTTTCGTAGTTTTCTGTTCAGCGCGCCCATTTTTCTTTTGCATTTGCATGGGTTCGATGCCTGGCGTCTCGTCATCATGCGACAATCCATCTATAGACGCCATTTTCACAAATTGAGCTGACCTTTCTTCTTGCGGTGGCGCTATTTACTATCCAACTATCGAAGATGTGATCAGAAGCTCGAAGTCCGATGTATACTGTCAAGGTCCGCGCCTTGTTGCTTCACGACCGGTTTCGTTCGACCATCAACACATTTGGACTTCGGCAAAGGTTTGTGCCGTCAGTTGAGGTCGTCATTGGACACTCACGGAGTTGATATTTGCAGAAAGCATTGTTCTGAGATGACAAAAAAGAAAGCTGTAATATTTGACATCGGCGGAGTCATCATAACGCCACCACAGTCGGGAATTATGAAATACGGAAAGTCTCTTGGCCTTCCCAGGTGAGTGCATTACTCGTACGAAGTCAAAACGACTGGAGGCGTCAAACAATGTTGCAATGTCAGTCCTTGTAGTCTTATCGACTTATCGACTTTATGAGAAATTAAAACTCAACGGCCAAAAAACAGTATTCACACTTGAAGACAATTCTGAGCTTAATTACCCTGATTGATTTAGCTTTTTGAAAAACTTATCAAACCAGCTACTACTTTAAAATACTTTATTTTAGCTGGAATAATTTTCGCTGAGAAGACTTTTTGGGTATTTTGTATGGAATTCATTTTCACTTGAATGTAAAATATAGAAAAAAAAAAAGTATATTCGCTTGAATTTAATTTTCACTGAATTATTGCTTCAGTGAAAATAAAGTATTTCACAGTACTGTTATGGTAGCAATGGTTCACAGAGTACCTGATTTCACGAACTGGGTCACAGTATATCAGTGAGTTTAAATCTCTGTTACGCTGAACAATTATGTTTTATTATTCCCACATCTCAATTAAAACAAAAATATTATTTCAACTTTCTGTTTCTTCCTACCACTTTGGACTCATTAATTGGTACACAGTCCCTCAACAGGACTGAGGGACTGAGGTTCTGTATAAATGGCAAACTCTTGATGAAAAAATAGATTTATCTGAAATACAATTCTCACTGAATCTCTGGTTATTAGTCAAGTCAATGCAAGGGAAACAAATACCCTGCCCAGCTAAATTTTCTCTAACCCCCCTGGAGTTACTAATGGTTCATCCCTAACTTCTAAAAATAAATATGAACCCACCCATACCCTATGATCCTCACTGATTTTAATAGGGCTTTGTGTTTACTAAGGTTATTCATTAATTGTTATACAGGATGTACAAACAGTATATAGTTAATTCATTTAGTCTGTAGTGGTGTATTTTGCACTTGATGAATGACATTATTGTCCTATCTGTAAGGGTTATCCCATTTAGAGGCACACTAACATCAAGGCCATGGGCATTATTGTCTAGCATTTTTGGTGTAGGAGGGAATTCAGAAAGTCTAAAGTCAACTAAGATGATACCAAGATTTTTTTTATTATTAACAATGATAATTATGTAAAGAAAACAAAAAGACTGGAATTTGAATAGTCCTGTGTGACAGCAGAGCAGAACTTTAACCGTTTCACCACCAGTTCTCTTTTTTCATCACAAATTCACAAAATAGTCCCGTTTGTAGTCTGCACTTTCCTTCAAATGATTAAGACAAAATTAGCCAATATTTTTTTTAGTAAAAACTGAAAATTAACTCGAAATTTTGACTATTGGTTGCAAAATTAGGGTTTATTTTCAGAAGAATTTTAAGAAAAAAGTGCAGAAAAATTTGGGTAAATAAGTCTGGTGATGTAAAGGTTAGGGGGAATGTGGATTATTTGGATTCTTTCAGTTTTCTCCAAATAAGACATATTTTTGGAACAATATCATAAAAATTACATTACCCATATTAAAGTTTATGAATATTATGTATAGTTCATTTTGCTTCAACACATGGAAGCAACAAAAATTGGTGAAATCATGTGACCCTCATAACATGCTAATCTACAACTATTTGAGGAGATTCATACCTAAAATGTTTAATTAATGTGTAGTACAGTAATGGCAAAAATGAAGAAAAAAAGATTTGTACAAATATGCATCAACATTTGTCAGCAATGTATGTAGTAGCATATATTATAACAGAAATATTTGCAGCTATATTCTCACACATTTGTAGTTTAACTACCGGTATGTCTATATAAAATATGACATTTTGACTATAGACATATACTTCTGTCATTTAGGTTGAATAAATAAAATACAGTACATTGTTTGCTTACACCAAATTTGTTACCATGGCAATAGCATATTGATTTTTACATCAAAATTATGATTGGTACTCCAGAGCTCGAATCGAGGGGGTCGAACATTTAACACATCGTAAATCCTTCGTGGATAGCCAAACAATGGCGTCAGTTGACCGTAGGTAAGTGAGCTATACAGACTCCACTGGAAGACCAACACCACTGGCAGAGATTCATTCACCTTGCTTAAAGGGTGGCAGTCGTTGTGCCACGTCCTGTTCAATATGGGACTCTATAGCGAGTATACAATGCGTGTAAAATTGTTTATTTACATGAAATTCGAACACGCGCTGCTTGACGATCATCACGCTTTAATGTGCTTGGGTTTCACAGTGCCTGGTTGATGCCAGAATACTTAATTTAAATGCCATAATGCAATTATGATAGGAGAATGGTCACACAGTCCTGACACACAGTCCCAAACCTGGAATATTGGTCTAGATGGCAAATAGCATATGTCAGCACTCACTAAAAGATATCAGGATAAACAAAAGCAGATGCTTCTAAAAAATATTACTGTGGCTAATCATTTTTCCCTTCATATAGTAATTTCCTTGAAGGTGTTATGGTAATGGGAGGGGACGACAATGCATTTCGTCGGATGGAACGAGGTGAACTGACAAGAACAGAAGTGAGTCATTTTCCAATATGATTGTATTTTTAATATAATAACTCTACTGATGTCATACTAAACTACAATTGACATATTTAAATAGGGTCTCCAATTCAAGACTGTGTGATATCGAATTTATTAAATTGCTACATTCGTTCAATAAATCCTATATTACTCAACCACTTGATTGAGATCCTCTATCTAATATATTTCTATTCAGTTCTGTAGTGAATATAAAAAAGAAGTTGAAAAAGCTGCAAAGGAAATGAATATTAATCTTCTTTCAACATTTGACCCAGATATTTTGTATGAAAACATGGGGGCCTCTTGTACAGTTGTCTTGCCGATGATAAATGCTATATTAGCATTACGAAAACATGGTGAGTTGCAGTTTTTTGGACAGTATGGAAACATTATTTCAATTATGCTTTCTGTAAAACTACTCAGTGTATACTTTTCAGAATCTCTGAAACCACCCGGTGTATAATTCTTAGACTTCTGTAAAACTACTCAGTGTATACTTTTCAGAATTCTCTGAAACCACCCGGTGTATAATTATTAGACTTTTGTAAAACTACTCATTATATACTTTTCAGACTTCTCTGAAACTACCCGGTGTATAATTTCAGGCTTCTCTGAAACCGTGCAGTGTATAATTCTTAGACTTCTGTAAAACTACCCCCGGTACTCATTGTATAATTTTCAAACTTCTCTGAAACCACCTGGTGTATAATTCTAGACTTCTCTGAAACCACCCAGTAAATAATTAAGTAACAGGGATTTATTTTTCCACTTATAGGCTACACAATTTGTATCTTAACCAATAATAGCATAGATGATACAACTGCACTAAATAATAATTCCAACCGCAGTTTTTATAGCTTACTACATCTGTTAAAACATATATCTCATCATGTCATCGAATCCTGTCGAGTCGGTATCAGGAAACCATCACCTGACATATATCAGTTAGCATGTGACACCATGGGTATTCAGCCGTCAGAGGTAAATATTAATTTATATAACATATATTTTACTACATACATGCTTAAAGCCTCCACAGATGAAAGTTAATAAGAAAAAATGCATTATTAATTTATGGAGGGCTTTATTTTTTTTAATTGCAATCTGGATTTATAAGAATCTTATGATCTCATCGTTTCTGGGGTATGGGAATTCTCGCAACTGCGGGCCGGAAGTGAGTCACAAAACTATCCCATAATGCATTTGGAATGAAGCGTGAGTGATATAAAGCTTGGATTTATTGCGGCACAAGTAATGATGATGAACTAAACCGAAGACAAATTTAGGGTCTGAGAACAGTTATGAGTGTCTGGTTAGATTTCACATGGCAATATTACCATAGTTTAATTATGTTCAGCACACTGAATGGCTATAAATATCAGTCATGGAATAATCATCTCACTAATGGTTATTTGATTGAAATTAGTTCATTTGAGACTTCTTTGTTAATTTATTACATGTTTAGGCTGTTTTTCTGGATGATATCGGTAGTAATTTGAAATCAGCAAAGAAGATGGGTATACAGACAATTAAGGTAGTGGACACAACTAAAGCATTACAAGACTTGAAAGACGCTACAGGTATTAACGTAAGTGATAGAAATTAAGGCAGTGTTGTTTTTATAACAACATTATATCTGTTAATACAGTTGACCAATCATGAAACAACAAAAAAATGGCTAATGTAAAATATATATATTTTATATTGTTCTTATTCAGCTTACATATGTCTATCTAGTCACTGTGAGGGCGCAGTCATTAGATACTATTATAGCTAACTTCTGCAGTTCAGTGATTATTGCAACATGTGCATCATTATGCAAGGTGCTTTGCCATTGTCGTGCGTTTGAATTTTGTATGTGTATGTTTATATGTTGGTAATTTGTCTGTTTTAAGCAATGAATGAATGAATGAATGAATGAATGAATGAATGAAATTCATTTCACCAAAAACAAAACAACATTAAAGGTAGAAATTGTACAGGTAGTAAATATAAATAAATAAATAACGAATTCTACTCGGAGTACTTTAACATGACATGACAGTTGGATTGGTTTTCTGTATTAATCTGTCAAATTTATGATGTCAGAGTGCTTGTACTTCATTACAGACTGCTATTTTTAAACCATCAATATTTAAGTTTTGTAAGTAATTTACAACGTACAAGGCTTGAATTAGTATCTTAATTTAACTGTAAAATTAATTAAGATTTTCTACCAAACTCTTCTTTTTGACAGGTTTTCGAAGAACAGTTTCCACCTGCAGTGTCACCGGATAAAATTGTCCACTCCTATGTTACAACCAAGGTAAGGATTGATGAAATGAAAGAGAGGGTGAGGGAATAACAAATTAATAGTAAAGACAAACCATCCTATGCTTTGGTATATGTTACAACCAATGTATAAGGGGTGATAAAATATGAGAGAGGGTGAGGGAATAACAAATTAATAATAAAAACTAACCATCCTATGCTTTAGTATGTTACAACCAATGTATAAGGGGTGATAACATGAGAGAGAGGGTGAGGGAATAACAAATTAACAATAAAGACAAACCATTCTATTGCTTTGGTATATGTTACAACCAATGTATAAGGGGTGATAAAATGAGAGAGAGGGTGAGGGAATAACAAATTAATAATAAAAACAAACCATCCTATGCTTTGGTATATGTTACAACCAATGTATAAGGGGTGATAAAATATGAGAGAGGGTGAGGGAGTAACAAATTAATAATAAAAACAAACCATCCTATGCTTTGGTATATGTTACAACCAATGTATAAGGGTGATAAAATATGAGAGAGGGTGAGGGAGTAACAATTAATAATAAAAACAAACCATCCTATGCTTTGGTATATGTTACAACCAATGTATAAGGGTGAT